CTCCTCCTCCTCCTCCTCCTCCTTCTCCTTCTTCTTCTTCTTTTTTTTTTTTAAATGTAAACACATTTGTTGCATTAGCTCCACAAACAGAGAGAAGCTATTTTAAAACCATATACTTAGGGCCCACCAGATAACCCAGAAGATTAAATCGCTGCTTAGGGAGACTCAGGGACTGGGGTTCAATCCCTGGTTTGCTGTGCCACCCTGTCCTCAGGTCGCGCCGAGACAGAGAATGAGACTGGGCGTGGTGGCGCGCGCCTGTAATGCCAGCACTTCGGAGGCTGAAAACAAGAGAATCATTATGAGTCCGATCTGTGTAATAAGACCCTGTAGTAAAAATACAAAACAAAAACAACAACAAAAAACATACACTTAAAAAAGCACAGCTTTATTTCCACATTTCTACATAGCCACATATCTTTTTCAGGTGTGGTGGGGGTACAATTGTTGAGAGGGATGTAAAATTTTTATTTTCTAACAAAAAGTTATCTTAGTAAGTGTCCTTATGCTACATAACTAAGCACAAACATCTACCATCTGTTAGGCGATTCACTTCCTGTATAGTTTCTCAATTGTGGGAATAAGTGCAAAAGCTGCAGAGCATATTTTAGGGATTCCATTCAACAGAGTGCGCGGGAGAGTGTCACGGATGCGGTGGCCGACTGGCTCGGCTCTGTGGGCTCTAGAACTGCCGTTCCTTCCCCTCGCTCTTCTGCCAGTTGTCCCCTCTGCACTCAGAACCGCATTTCAGTACCAGGTGAGCTCTCAGTGCTCATTTTCCTGCACACAATAATTTCACGCACGATGGTTAGGTTCACTTCTCTCTCTCCAGCCACACCATTTTTCTACTGTGGAGCTATTTAAGAACACTATTAAAATGCTAAAAGTTAAAACAGAATTAAAATAGTACAAAAATTAAAATTTAGCTTGAGGACAAATAAAATAATGAGAAAGTTAATGGAAATACTGTTTAGTCATGTAAAAGGCTTTGGGCTACAAATATCAAGGGTTTTATGGGTTGCTGGACTTGATTTTTATTGCATCTAATTAAACTTTTAAAAACTGAAGTTTTCCTTCTCACACATGCATATACATAAGTAGACATCTGTGTAGCACTGCGGCTCCAACTTGATTCACAGGCATGATTGGCAGAAAGCATTACTAGATGAATCTTTATGCCTATTTTCAAATAGGCATTGCTTTTTTTTCACAAGTCTACGTCTTTATCCATACTGGTTTTTGGGACTGGGTAGTCCATGTCTAGCTAACTTGACATTACCTCTTAAGTCTCAGAGTAGCTGTGTCTTTCTCTGGAATCTTCCTGGACAGGGTGACTGTTTGCATTTGCTGCCTTTCTTCTGAACCTTCTTAGGCACAGGTATCCATATGGATACACACTGTTCATGCCCCAGTTCTCCGTGCGGTGCCTTCTATACTCCAAGAGACACACCAAGCTCTGGGTGTCTACCACAGGCACCAACTCAGAATTCCCGTCCTTAACATGCTTGTGCTATAGCATAGAAGACTGGAGAACACAGCAGCAGAGAAGTCAAAAATTTAATTACATTCACAGATGTGGAAAGGAAGACCATGAGAGGGGTAGATTCTCTGGGGACAAATTGAACAGAATGACTAGAACTCTGTTCAAAAGGTAATGGAATGTTCACAAACTGACTTACTCCAGGTGAAAACTAGTCATGAAAATGCTGCTGGTCAAATTAAATAGCCTCAGCTGGAAGCCCTGGGTTTGGTCCTTGGCACCAAAAATAAAATACAAACCTCGCCTAAAAAATAAAATCCAACCAAAAAAAAATACAATATAATCAAAAAGACCAAAACCAAACAAGGTAACCAAATTAAAGAACCTCACCTGTTGTTTCTATAAATAAAGGATATTAAGCCATTGGCAAGAAGGGAAGGGAAATCCTGAACAATCTTGATTTATAGAACCAAGAGAAGAGTATGCACACATTCATATGGGTTCAATGAGATAAACGAAGTCTGATCTCAATACCAATTGGAAAGGAATTATTAAAGAGACATCCTCCATTCCTCATGCTGAATATGATCAAATGCTTTCTTATGCTATTTTAAATGTGCAGGTGTAGTCGACACAGAAGAGAAGGTGAGGACAATGGCATCATCTTGATTTACCTGGGCTACCTCCCTCATTCCAGAGGAAACAGGTAGATAATCACCTGACATGCACAGACAAGTCTGGATATAGCTTCCAGTTTTTATTTCAAGGGCTCAGAAGTAGAGTGGAGGCAGTAAAAGAGATAAGAGTTAGAGGCAGTGATGTGTTCTAGAGCCTAGATATATATGCTGAATAAGATGAAAACAATCATTAGACACTCTCAAATTAAAAAAAAACTCAATAAAAATGAACAATTGAAATGAATATCACTTCTCAAAAGAAGAAATTCATATGGTCAATAAATGCATGAAGAAATAAATGTTCAATATCTTTGGCTTTCGAAGAAATGCAAATCAAAACAACAGTGAGATTCCATTTTTCCCTAGAAAGAATTGCTATCATCAATAATTTAAGAAACAACAAATGCATGCAAAGTTGTGGGGAAAAAGAAATCTTTCTACATTATTTCTGGGAATGTGAACTAGTACAAGCAACATGGAAATCACTGAGATTCCTCAATGAACTAACAAATGAGAGTTCCATTTCACCCAACTATACTTGTGGATATATTCTGAATTAAAGACATCATATTATAAGGGTATGTATATACCTATATCCCATGATAGGTATATATGTATATATCTAGTAACATACTCCATAATAACTAAATCTTAGAAATAACCTATATGCCTATCAACAGATGAATAGGTAAAAATGTGGTATACACAGTAGAGTGTTACTCAGCTAAAAAGGATAAATTTGAGTAATCTGTAAGAAAATGGATATATCCTTTTTTTCTAATTTATGTATTTAGTTTAGGGTATATAGGGTCTCACTAAGTAGATTGGACTCATAATGATTCTCCTGTTTTCAGCCTCCTAAATGCTGGGATTACAGGTGTGCGCCACCATGCCCAGTCTCAGTCACCATCTCAGTGAGCCCCAGGGGCAGGACTGGCATGGCATGCTGGGGATCTAACCCTGTACCTACGCACAGGGAGGTAGTCCTCTGAGTTATCTGGCCGGCCCTTTGAAAATAGATTTATCTTGAAACTAAAATGTTAAATAAAATTAATCAGGCATAGAAACTTAAATGTTCATGGTTTCTCTTACTAAAGAAACAACTGTTAGAAATAGCTTAAAGAACAAAAGGGAAATGAAAAGAAATAGCAATGTAGACTTTGTGGGGATGGGAAAGGGATCTGTGAGGGCCAGGAGCAAAGGAGAGATTCATTTTAGACTATCTATCTATCTATCTATCTATCTATCTATCTACCAATTCCCTGAGATGAATATAATTATTATACATTACATATAATAATTTATTGATATACAACTATCAGTAAAAAGTAAAATTGGGATACCCCCAAAGAAAACAACAACACAAAAGATTGGGTGGTTGCAGACCCAGGTGGGTAATGTCAGGATTGGTTCCCAAGCTCAGAGTGCTCATTGCCTGGTCCTCTGACTTGTGCTGCTGTGAAATCCTTTTCTGGTTAATTTTACGTATGTTTCTGTACACGTGTTGAGGTCAGTAACTTCAGTAACTTTAAATGCTTCCCAGTGCCTAGCATAATCCAATAAACTACTGAGATGGCCATGAGAATTTACTGAATAAAGGAATGAGAGGGGGTGAAGGGGAAAGGGAGGAGAGGAGGAGAAGGCAGGGGGCAGGGGGAATGTGAGAAAAACTAGAGTTAAGTTCTGCTTACAAAAGGGAATTCCTGTTATATTTTCAGAATTTACTCATAGAAGCGTGACGTTTACATTGAGTCATATTGGGGCTGGGGAGTTAGCTCTGCAGTCTAAGCACCTGCCTGGCAAGCGCCAGGATCCAGGTTCCATTCTCCATGCTCCATGCCATGCCAGCCCCATGCAGTGCTGGCCCAGAAACCCCGGCTGTGCTGTGCAGGCCCAGAGACCTGGTGTGGTGGCTCACACCTGTAATCCCAGCACTGGGAAGGCTGAGACAGAAGGATCACTGTGAGTCTGAGCTGCGTAGTGACACCTTGTATCAAACAAATATTGATTTATATGGTAACAGTTCAGAGAGTCATTATTTGAGGTGAGAGAAATGAGTTTATATTTATGATAGTGTAGGATTATACATTTTAAAGTAAAATCGTGTCCCATGAAATGGAAGTTGAAAAAAACGCAAGCTATGTAGATGTTGAGATTTGGTCTATTCATTGCCAATTTTTGGTTAATGAACTCATAAAGGAGCCATCAGTAGTTATACCATAGACATTTATTCTTCTTTCTAAGTAAAATGTGTACTTCAAGGAAAAGAAGAACTCAGCGGTGTGAAATAATAGAAGACACAGACTACAACTATAAATGTAAGAGGAAAAATAATAATACGCTAGTCGTTTTACCTCCAG